TAAGATTGCTTATAGCTTTAGAAGTGAAGTAAATTTTTTACTCATGTATTAACATCTCTTATCTTAGTTCAGTTTATTATATAATGTGTCTTTTTTTTAATATTCCACATTTCTTTTAAATCTTAGTGACAAAATTGCCACTGGGTCCTTTGATAAAACTTGCAAACTCTGGAGTGTAGAAACAGGAAAATGTTACCATACCTTCAGGGGTCATACAGCAGAAATAGTGAGTATATTTAACAATTTATTATTATATTTTATGTTGCTGTTTCTTTTTAGGATTCTATTATAAAAGTAGTGGGGCTACTTTTATAATTAGTTTTCAAATTCTACCCCATGTTTTTAGTCTGCCTATATTTATATGGTGGTACCAATACAGTTTAAAAATTACTCTAGTTAATATCTTGCAGATTCTATAAAGAATTGTATCCTGCATTGACTAAGTAGACACGTAATATGATACATTTATAAATATAATAACCAATCTTACTTTTTCTTTTTCATTGACTTTTCTTTAAAGTACTGACTCAATGAGGGTCAATTAAGTGATAAAAACAGTTTTTAATATAATTTTTAAACTACTATATGAAATATTTAGGCTGATTGTTCTCTGTGTATCATTAGAGCCCAAATTTGCATGAATAGTCTGATACTCGAAACAGCTTTCACTATTGGGAAGCCCTTTTCCTTGACCAATTCTGAGATGTATCTTATAACAATTAGTGCAATAATTGGCATTCTGTAAGAACAGATGACAGCTCTTAAAAATAAACAGGCTGCTGCTCCTAATGATTAGTAATACCTTAAATGTTTTTAATCAAAGATTTAAATAAGGAAAAATTGATCTGATTTTAACAAATTCCCAAGTTCTGTTTTGGCCTGTTAGTGGGGATCACCCCTTTCCCTCCATTTCTGGCCTTCATTAGATAGAATGATTCTTTAGATATTTAACTCACTTCCCTTGTTGTACTTTGAAGTTACTCTTAAGTGGATAATACCAAAAGAGAATCCACAAATAGAAGGTACCCAATGCAGTAGTGGTATAAAAATAATAGAGACTTTTAAGGGTCAAAGAGAGAACAGGCTAAAGCAGGAAGCAGAATATAACCACTTCTCCCATAATTGTCAGTAGGGAAATATAGCTCAGTACTTTTTGAATTGAACAGAGACATAAAAAGAATGTGCTAATAACTATTATTAGATGAAGAGGGGAAATTGATAACAAAGAGTGATAGATCTTTTAATCTCAATATTCACTGGAAAAAAAGACACCTGCTGTGAACCAGAAAAAGCAAACAAGAACATACAGGGGTGGAGGGAGGAAAAGCAAGCCACGGTGGCGACAACTTTTGTGAATAGTTGGTGACAGCCAATCTGCCAGCAGTGTTCAAGTTCTAGCACCCACACCCACCCCTGGAACTGAGGAACAAGATACTTAGGACAGACTGTAGAATGCTTGGAAATATTTCTTGAGGATAAGGAAGTTACCTGTAGGTGGGAAAGGGTCCTGTATCCTGCTAATTTATGTACACCTTAAACAAAACAAGAACAAAAGCAGTCTGCTTATTTTAGAAGTAAAATTCATTTACACTCATCCTAAACATTCATGGTGTATTAATCCACCAATAACTCATGCTCTGTTGAAGGTACTTTGCTAGTGACTGGGAATACTGCAGTGAAACATAACTGACCCTTTGACAGCTCTTGCTGTTTGAGAGGCACTGTCCTAAGCCCCTTTACATAAACAGGTACTAGCTTAGTTGTGCCTCATAGCAACCCTAAGAGGAAGGTATTTCCCCATTTTACAGAGTAGGGTACTGAGGCATTGAAAGCTTAAGTAACTTGCCCAAAGTCAAAGAAAAACATAGTGCATGTCGTTAGAGTGTGACCATTTTCCCACACTCTTTTAGATTCTGGGAAATATTTTCTTTATAAATAATTCCTAGGGAGACGTTCATCTTTTTCAGTCAACATTCATCCAATAAATATTTATTAAATATTGACTATGTGTGGAACCCTGGCCTACATGCTTAGGGTACCTGAGAGAATCTGACACAGTTCTTACTATTTAATAGAAGGAGTGAAAGCATCAATGGATAAGTTCAAAGATGTGTTGTAAGTGTCAGAAGTGGATGGGGATTTCAGTGTGGACACAGAGGGAGCAGTGTGGCCTCCTGAGCCCGGGAAAGGTGTTCAGGAAAGACTTTCCAGAGGGGTGGCATGTGCATTCCAGGCAGAGCGAGCAGTCCTGGTAAATGCTGAGAAGTAGTGTGTGCCTGAAACTCAGGTGGCTCTGTGTGATCAGAGCAGAACTTCCTGACCCTCCATGTGGTGCCATGTGCAGAATATGCAAATGTGGATTTGCAGCACACTGAGGGGAGCTGCCTGCTGTGCATGGCCAGAGGTGATGGGCAAGGATCCCTGCTGCTACCCAGCTGCCTGGGTTAACAGTGTCCATGCCTTAGCGTACCTATAGCCCATTCAAATTCAGATCACAGGGTGTGAGCAATTAAAGTGGGAGAGTCAGGCAAGGGCCATATTATGCAGGAGGTTATATACTATGCTAAAGAATTGGATTTTATTTTGCAGGTAATGCCACACTGTTGAGACTTTTTGGCTAGGAGATGGTATGATCATCTGCGCTCTTTGGAAAGATTATTTTTGTACAGTGTGAAAAAGAAATGGGAGGGTGGTAAGATCAGCATTATTGGCCAGTTGGGGATCTTGCTGCAATCCAAGTGAAAAATGATGAAGGTGTGTTGTAAAGATAGATGAAGAGAATGTGAGTAGAACCTGGTTACTAAGTAGTTATGAGGCATAAAAGAAAAGGGGAACCCAGGATGGATTCCCTGATTTTGTGCTTGCATAATGGGCAGTGCCATTCACCAATTCTGTGCATGAAAGAGGAGGAACAGGTTTGCATTGATACGACTTTTGTGTCTTAGATTGATATAAGCTGCCTGTGTGATAGCCAAACAGAGGCATCCATTTAGCAGTTGGCTCTTTGGGGCTGGAACTGAGCAGTGAGGTCTGGGAAAGAGACTTGAATGCATGAGTCACTGGTATCCGAGTGGCGGTAGAAACCAATGAGCAATTGAAATTGCCCAGAGGAAAGGGTAGAGTGTGGAGAGGAGACTGACAGAACCTTGGGAGGATGGAGAAGAGAGAACTTCAAATGATACAAAAAGAAAAAAGAAAAACAAGAAGAAAGAGAGGGAAACTAGAGAACAAAGGTGTCAGTGCTGCAGATGTCAGGGAGGTTAAGTGGGATGACTGACCAAACCTGGATTGGACTTTTAGCCAGAGTGGTTTCAGAAGAGTTGAAGAGTGAGCAGAAGATGGACAAAAATGATGGTAGACTGTTTCCCAAGAAATTTGGTTGTAAAGGCGGAAGAAGGGTAGCTAAGAGGGGTACATAAGGTCAAGGTAGGATTTACTCAAACATATTTACAGGTCACTGAAAAGCATCTAGTCTAGAGGGAAGGAAAACTAGTGGACGCATCAAAAAGCAAACAAGAACATACAGGGGTGGAGGGAGGAAAAGCAAGCCACGGTGGCGACAACTTTTGTGAATAGTTGGTGACAGCCAATCTGCCAGCAGTGTTCAAGTTCTAGCACCCACACCCACCCCTGGAACTGAGGAACAAGATACTTAGGACAGACTGTAGAATGCTTGGAAATATTTCTTGAGGATAAGGAAGTTACCTGTAGGTGGGAAAGGGTCCTGTATCCTGCTAATTTATGTACACCTTAAACAAAACAAGAACAAAAGCAGTCTGCTTATTTTAGAAGTAAAATTCATTTACACTCATCCTAAACATTCATGGTGTATTAATCCACCAATAACTCATGCTCTGTTGAAGGTACTTTGCTAGTGACTGGGAATACTGCAGTGAAACATAACTGACCCTTTGACAGCTCTTGCTGTTTGAGAGGCACTGTCCTAAGCCCCTTTACATAAACAGGTATTAGCTTAGTTGTGCCTCATAGCACCCTAAGAGGAAGGTATTTCCCCATTTTACAGAGTAGGGTACTGAGGCATTGAAAGCTTAAGTAACTTGCCCAAAGTCAAAGAAAAACATAGTGCATGTCGTTAGAGTGTGACCATTTTCCCACACTCTTTTAGATTCTGGGAAATATTTTCTTTATAAATAATTCCTAGGGAGACGTTCATCTTTTTCAGTCAACATTCATCCAATAAATATTTATTAAATATTGACTATGTGTGGAACCCTGGCCTACATGCTTAGGGTACCTGAGAGAATCTGACACAGTTCTTACTATTTAATAGAAGGAGTGAAAGCATCAATGGATAAGTTCAAAGATGTGTTGTAAGTGTCAGAAGTGGATGGGGATTTCAGTGTGGACACAGAGGGAGCAGTGTGGCCTCCTGAGCCCGGGAAAGGTGTTCAGGAAAGACTTTCCAGAGGGGTGGCATGTGCATTCCAGGCAGAGCGAGCAGTCCTGGTAAATGCTGAGAAGTAGTGTGTGCCTGAAACTCAGGTGGCTCTGTGTGATCAGAGCAGAACTTCCTGACCCTCCATGTGGTGCCATGTGCAGAATATGCAAATGTGGATTTGCAGCACACTGAGGGGAGCTGCCTGCTGTGCATGGCCAGAGGTGATGGGCAAGGATCCCTGCTGCTACCCAGCTGCCTGGGTTAACAGTGTCCATGCCTTAGCGTACCTATAGCCCATTCAAATTCAGATCACAGGGTGTGAGCAATTAAAGTGGGAGAGTCAGGCAAGGGCCATATTATGCAGGAGGTTATATACTATGCTAAAGAATTGGATTTTATTTTGCAGGTAATGCCACACTGTTGAGACTTTTTGGCTAGGAGATGGTATGATCATCTGCGCTCTTTGGAAAGATTATTTTTGTACAGTGTGAAAAAGAAATGGGAGGGTGGTAAGATCAGCATTATTGGCCAGTTGGGGATCTTGCTGCAATCCAAGTGAAAAATGATGAAGGTGTGTTGTAAAGATAGATGAAGAGAATGTGAGTAGAACCTGGTTACTAAGTAGTTATGAGGCATAAAAGAAAAGGGGAACCCAGGATGGATTCCCTGATTTTGTGCTTGCATAATGGGCAGTGCCATTCACCAATTCTGTGCATGAAAGAGGAGGAACAGGTTTGCATTGATACGACTTTTGTGTCTTAGATTGATATAAGCTGCCTGTGTGATAGCCAAACAGAGGCATCCATTTAGCAGTTGGCTCTTTGGGGCTGGAACTGAGCAGTGAGGTCTGGGAAAGAGACTTGAATGCATGAGTCACTGGTATCCGAGTGGCGGTAGAAACCAATGAGCAATTGAAATTGCCCAGAGGAAAGGGTAGAGTGTGGAGAGGAGACTGACAGAACCTTGGGAGGATGGAGAAGAGAGAACTTCAAATGATACAAAAAGAAAAAAGAAAAACAAGAAGAAAGAGAGGGAAACTAGAGAACAAAGGTGTCAGTGCTGCAGATGTCAGGGAGGTTAAGTGGGATGACTGACCAAACCTGGATTGGACTTTTAGCCAGGGTGGTTTCAGAAGAGTTGAAGAGTGAGCAGAAGATGGACAAAAATGATGGTAGACTGTTTCCCAAGAAATTTGGTTGTAAAGGCGGAAGAAGGGTAGCTAAGAGGGGTACATAAGGTCAAGGTAGGATTTACTCAAACATATTTACAGGTCACTGAAAAGCATCTAGTCTAGAGGGAAGGAAAACTAGTGGACGCATCTCCCATAGTTGTGCAGGGAAGGGGTCTTAGAATAGGTGGAAGGATCCCTCTGCATCTGAGACTGAAGGGAAGGAAAGTAAGATCCAAGTGGGGAAGTTCCTACCTGACAGGAGAGTTTTCTTGGGGAAGTGGTAGGAGGCCAGCTTGTCTGTTGAGGAGGGGTGAGGATGGAAGTAGAGGCAGGAGTGGGGAATGGGAGAATGTATGGAGCCAGAGGCATCCCTACAAAGTAGGGAATGGTGCTGAGGACTCTGTTGAGGACAGAGGCATAAATGAGCAATACCAGTAACTTTCTGTGCAGTTCTCTTAAGCTACCTTGGCTGGGTGATGAGGCAGAGAGGCAGATGATTAGATAAAATCCTTACCTGATAAAAGTTAATGTTAGGGGTTTGTACGAAAGGTACATCAGATAGATAGGGACTAAGAGTGTCGAGGATAATGGCAGGAGTGATGCTTCCAGGGTGTCAGTTGAATGGGGAGGATGGACCAGGAGAAAAGGCGGATGTCTCAATGAGATGAAAGATCTTCTAGGGGAGGGGAGTGGGAAGGGAAATTGCGACCCTGGATTGGTGAATTGGTGGTGAATTTTCTAGAGAAGATAATACCAAGGTCCATGGTGTGGCCATGGGAGAGACTACTGAAGAGTCGTCTGGGGCATGGGTCTGGGGGAACTGGATGGATTGCCCATGTGAAGGACACCTAAGACTTGGCATTGAGACTACAAGCCAGTAGTCTCTTGATGAGTGAGGGGCCATGATTGGAAGGACTGTGGTGACAGCAGCAAGGAGAAGGAGAGCCAGATAGCAGGGATCTTGAGGGAGATGGGCTTCACTTTTGTTCATGTTCTTCTGTGGTCTGGAAGTGGCAAAGGGAGCCAGTGCCCCTCCAAGCCTGAGCTGGGTGCTGTGGGAGAACAAGCAGCCTCTTTTCAAGAGGAGGACTCTGAAGGACTCAACCTGGGGATAGCAGGTCACACATATGTGGTGTTTTGTACAAAGAATTAGGCTGAATCTGGTAAGGTAATTGCATCTGGAAAATTTTCTGTGTTTAATGAACACTATGAAACTCTATCTTCCTAAAATTTCTCCCATTTCATGTAATTTAGGTGTGTTTATCATTTAACCCTCAAAGCACATTGGTGGCGACTGGAAGTATGGACACAACAGCCAAATTGTGGAACATTCAGAATGGCGAGGAAGTTTGCACCTTAAGAGTATGTCAATAATGTTAATGAGCCTGTTATTTGTGTGAATTCTTATTCGTGTTTTTGTTACAAAATGAGCTCTAAGCTGGATGTTGTTGAGTTGCTGGTTTTCAGACTGTAGTGGTGAAAGAGTATTCCTACTGGTTTCCGGCTATTCCAAAAGACTTGGGTGGAGGTGCTGGGGAAGTCCAAGGAGCTTTTTATTTTGACTAACTTTAGTCTGCAAAACACATCAACTA